CTGTGGAGAGAGAAAACATCCTATAGAGTTCACACGTAACTAAAGATGAGGTGATCATGACAATGTACCGTGATGTTATGAAGCTGTACTACCCTGGATGATTACTGGTAGTGTTATGTACCGTAGTTAGGTGAATGTAGGTGATAGCTGTTGTCTAGTACTCAGGCTAGCAGACTCGTGGCGTTGAGTGGTGAACTAGCTTTTAGGAATAAGCTTAGCTCATATGAAAAAAAACTAAAGGAATCTAAATCGTCCTTGCTGAAGCTGTTAGTGCATAATCTAATGCATTGTAGTTTGTGAATTACTTATAATAATGTGTAATACTAGGTAATTCAATTCTGGTTAATTTGCCTGGCTGAGACGGCGTTTTTAATGAATTATTGATTATCTGAACAATAGTTATGTTCTGTCCTGAATTATAATCCGTGAATTGGCTGTACAATATGTGGTCCTCTTGGTCCTTTTTCGTAATAGATCTAAGTTTGGAGACTTTTAGGCTTTTATTAACATTGAATTGTGATATTATCAAAACTTGCCACATGCTACGTGGCTGCAAATGAAATATAACTGGTAAGATGGAAGAAAAGAAAGAAAGGAAGAATGAGAGAAAGGTAGAAAGGATATAAAGTGTAATGGAATGCATTTTTGTGTTCGTATGATAATGATGTCGTTAGTGTTGATGAACATATCAAAAAAATGTTCATGTTACTGCTAATGCTGTTTCTGCAGACGATGATGACGGTGATGGTAGTGATGATGACGGTGATGATGATAATGATGATGATTGATGATGATGATGATGATGATGATGATGATGATGATGATGATGATGATGATGATGATGATGATGATGATGATGATGATGATGGTGATGATGGTGATGATGATGATGATGATGATGCCACTGCCTCTAATAATAATGTCGATTGAAATGACCTAACAAGAATAACAAAATAAATAGATAAATAAATAAAATATAAACAAAAGAAAAATCAACGAAAAGGAAATAATATCAGCCTCGACCTGCCACCCCCCCCCCCCACCCTACCCTATCACATCTCCCCCTTCCCCCCCTAGAAACATTTTCCGGCCTTTGCCCTTTTACCACGGCCGTCAAAGAAGAAAGAAAGAGAGAAAGAGAGAAAGGAAGAAAGGAAGGAAGGAAGGAAGGAGGGAAGGAAGAAAGAAAGGAAGAAAGGAAGGAGGAGGGAAGGAAGAAAGAAAGGAAGGAAGGAAGGAGGAAAGACAGAAAAAAAGGAAGAAAGAAAGACAGAAAAAAGGAAGAAAGAAAGAGAGAAAGAAAAGAAGAAAGAAAGAGGGAATGGGAGAAAGATAGAAAGAAGAAAGAGAGAAAGAAAAAAAGAAAGACAGAAAGAAAGAAAGACAGAAAGAAAGAAAGACAGAAAGAAAGAAAGAGGGAAAGAAAGAAAGAAAGAAAACGGGAAAGAAAGAGAGAAAGAGAAAGAGAGAAATAAATCAATAAAAAAAAGAAAGCAGGAGAGAAAGAAAGAGAGAAAAAAAGAAAGAAAAAAGAAAAGAAAGACACGAAAACAAAAAAAAACAGAAAAAAAAGAAAGAAAACAAACAAACAAATAAAGAAAGAAAGAAAACGAAAAGAGGAAGAAAGGAAAAAAAAAGCATCCACACTGTTGAATTTTAGAGAATGCACGAACGCCACCGCATGCGTCGGGTGTAATGGCTACAATACGGTGCGCGGCGTCCCTCGAGCTCCACTCTCCCGCCCAAATGGTTCCCTGTTATCACCTACGCATACTAGAGCTTATTTCGCAAAGCTCTATTTGCTTCGTTAGAAAAGAAGAAGAAGAAAAAAAAGGTGGTGATGTTGATCATTTTCTTTTTTTTTTTGCTTTATTATCATTATTTTTTTTTTCTTTTTCTATGTTTTTCTATATATATATATATATATATATATATATATATATATATATATATATATATATATATATATATATATATATATATATATATTTAATGTATGTGTGCGTGTGTGTGTATTTAGTTATTTATATATACGAATAAACAAACAAACACACACCCTCTCTCTCTCTTTCTTTTTCCTTCTCTCTCTCTCTCTCTCTCTCTCTCTCTCTCTCTCTCTCTCTCTCTCTCTCTCTCTCTCTCTCTCTCTCTCTCTCTCTCTCTCCCTCCCTCCCTCCCTCTCTCTCTCTCTCTCTCTCTCTCTCTCTCTCTCTCTCTCTCTCTCTCTCTCCCTCGATATTCAGGCAGGTAGATAGATAGAGTGACATATAGGCATATAAGTAGATAGATAGATAGATAGATAGACAAATAGACAGATAGATAGGTAGATATAAAGACAGATAAATAGATAGAAGATATATATAGAGAAAGACAGATAAACAAATAAACAAAATTGAAAGAAAATAGCTATACAAAGACACAGACCGACAGACAGACAGACAGATATGCCGATAAATAAACAGAGAGAGAGAGAAAAAAAAAATCACCCCCCCCCCCCCCGCCTATCCGCTTTTGTTTCCGAGCGTCTTGTCACACACCTGCGTTAACACTTACGACAGGTGTGTGTGTGTGTCTTTGTGGGTGCTGGGCGTGGGAGTTCCCGGGGAAGGGGGGGGGGGCGCTGCCTTTGTTCTGCTGGTTTATGGCTCCTTTGTGTACAAGACCTTTTCTTCCTTCCTCTCTCTTCCTGTCTTCCTTCTTCTTTTTCTTTTTTTTCTTCTTTCTTTTCCTACTTCTTTTTCTTCTCCTATTTCTTTTCTTCTTCCTCCTTCTTTTTTTTTCTCCCTCATTCTTTCACGTCTTTTCTTCCTCCTTCTTCTTTTCTTTCTCCTCGTTCTTTTCTTTCTCCCTCCTTCTTTTCCTTCTTTTCCTTCTCCTTCTTTTCGTCCTCCGTCCTCCTTATTTCCCCCTTCCTCCTTTCTTTTTCTCTTCACTCCTTCTTTTTTTCCTCCCTCCTTTTCCTCCGCTCTCCTTCTTTTCCTCCTCCTCCCTCTTTCTTTTCCTCCTCCTTCCTCCTTATTTTCATCCTTCTCCCTCCTTTCCTTCCTTGCTTCAATCATTAGTTTACTTCTTGGTTCATGTCTTATTTATTTTTCACTTTGTTTCGTGTTTCTCCTTCCTCACTTTCCTCCTCCCTCTTTTACCGTATCTCTTCCTTCTCTTCTTTCCTCCTCTGCTTTTCCTCTCCTTTTCCTCTTATTCCCTTCCTTGCTTCCCGTCAATTTCAATCTTATCTTCTCCCTTTGTTTCCTGTATTCTGTTTCTTCTTTCTCCTTTATTCTTTCTTCTCTCTATCATTTCCTTCTTTGTTTCTCCTCTCTTTTTCATTTTTTGCTTCCTCTCACTTTCACTTTCCTCTTCTTGTATTTTCTCATTTCTTTCTTTCCTTCCTTCAGCTCTCCCTATTTCTCCTTTCTTTTCTTGTTCCCTTTCCCTCTCCCTGCCTTTCTTCCGCTCTCTTTCATTTTCCTATTTCTCCTCGTCACTCTTGCTTCCATTCTTTGTTTCTCCACTGTTTCCTTCCCCCCCTTCCCCTCACGCGCTTTTCCCCTCCTTCCCCTTAATGTAACTTATCTAATGATCTCATCTTCCCTTTCCCCTCTTTCGTCCCTCCCCTCTCCCCCCTTTTTCGTGTCTTCTATTTACCTTCTCCCTCTCCCCTCCTCTTCCCTTCCTCCTCTCTCCCCTCTTCCCTTCTTCCCGTGACCTCTTCCCCCTCTCCCCCTCTTCCCTTCCCCCTCTTCCCTTCCTCGCATTCCCCCTCTCTCCCCCCTGTCTCCCCATCCCCCTCTCTTCTCTTCCCCCTCTCTCTCCTTCCCCTTCTCTCCCCTTCCCCCTCTCACCCCTCTCTTTCCTCCCCCCTCTCTCTCCTTCCCCCTCTCTCCCCTCTCTCCCTTTCCCCCCTCTCCCCCCGGTCTCCCCTTCCCCCTCTCTCCCCTGTCTCCTCTTTCCCCTTCCCCCTCTCTCCCCTCTCTCCCTTTCCCCCCCTCTCTCCCCTGTCTCCCCTTGCCCCCTCTCTAACCTTCCCCTTACGTAGCAAAATGGGCACAGGGACTTCTGTAAGACAAAGCTTATTAGGGTAATTTACCGCGAAGGCACTTAGACCGTACATCATCTGAGGGGAGAAAGGGGTGAGGGTAAGGGAGGGAGGGGGAGGGAGGGAGGAGGGGGATTAAGGGGTGAGGGTAAGGGAGGGGAGGGGGAGGGAGGGGGAGGGAAGGGAGGTAGGGAGAGAAAGGGTTGAGGGTAAGGAAGAAAAGGGGGGGAAGGGGAGAAAAGGGGAGGGAGGGGAAAGAGGGAGGAGGGGGAGAAAAGGGTGAGGGTAAGGGAGGGAAGGGAGAGGAGGAAGGGGAGGGAGAAAAAGGGGGGAGGTGAGAAAGGAGAGAAAGGAGAGAGAGAGAAGGGGAAGGGAGGGAAGGAGAAAATAGGGAGAGAGTAGTAGGGAGAGGTTATAAGAGGAGAGAGAAGAAAGAGGGAGGAATGGTAGAAGAAGAAAGAATTGAGAGAAGGAGAAGAGGAGTAGGACCGGAGAGAGAAAGGAGAGGAAAGAGGGAGGGAATGAAGAGGAAGAAATGGAGTGGGTAGAAAGGGAGGAGGAAGGAAGGGAAGGAGAAGAGATGAAGGGACCGGAGGGGAGTGGAAAGAAGGGGAAAGGAAGGAAGTGAAAACGGAGAGAAGGGGAAACAAGAGAGAGAAAGGGGAGGGGAGAACAAGATAAGAAAGACCAAGGGATAAGAAATTAGAACAAGGTAGAAGGTAGGAATAAAGAAGAGGAGGAGAAGGAGGCGGAGAAGAAGAAGAAGAAAAAAAAAAAAAAAAAAAAAAGAAAAAGAAAAAGAAAAAGAAAAAGAAAAAAAGAAAAAGAAAAAGAAAAAGAAAAAGAAAAAGAAAAAGAAAAAGAAAAAGAAAAAGAAAAAGAAAAAGAAAAAGAAAAGGAAAAGGAAAAGGAAAAGGAAAAGGAAAAGGAAAAGGAAAAGGAAAAGGAAAAGGAAAAGGAAAAA